CATTTTCGGTGACGTCTTTGAAAGAAGGGTTACCATCTCCATGTTTCTTTCAGGCTTTTGCGTCCAGCGCGTGAGGATACGACTAATTCCTCAAACAATTCATGTCAAGCCCTGTGCAACGGACCCTCCATGTCACATTACGGTCTTTGTACCCAAGAGAGCTTAAGTGAAAAACTTTCCACGGATATCAAGAATATATAGGAGTGCGGCGTGACATGTATCATACCCTGCTGGTAGAAGGTAGTAGGTACAGAATTCACCTAAGCTAAGAAATGAGTGGCATGGATTCGGAACTTGAGCACCTTGTGGAGCCGCTCCCCCGATTCTGAAAACCTTCCATCATGGTTTCTGGACCGGCTAAATATAGCCCCTTTACTATTTGCTGGAAGAAAAAGTCACATATAGAGACTCGATAATGGATATATGCTTGACAAAAAGAAAATGCACAGCTACATTATTGATGACTCGGCATTACTCTCGACTTCAAGTGGCGTGATCCAGGCTGGCAAACATGTAGTCTGAGGTATGTGGCATCGACAATGAGAACCTAGATGGTTGTCACGTGAATAAGAGACCCAAGCTGTGCTTCTCGGACTCGCTTCAACTAAACATCTCTGGCAGTTCGAGATGAGACTATTTTTGTCATATCTACAGGTCGCTCAATCTGAGATGACGTGGTTGTGAGATTTGGATCATCGGTGTATCAATTCCGTGATCCGCGGACATGTTGCTTCATCGAGGTAGAGGAAGGAGTGCATGATATGGTCGGCATGGCGGACATGTCCCATTTGGAGGAGTATGACGAGGTTGATTTACTAGAGGAGCCCTACCATGATACAAGTTCCTGGATATGCGCCATTTATGTTAGCGGAATAAGATTACTTTTTCTTCCTTAGCAGATTGGCAGCTACTGTGGTGCTTTTTGAATGTGGTCAGTGAGGTAATAATGCACATCACCCACAGACACATACACCCAGATGGACGACTAGACATGATTCATGTATGGTACCTCGACTACGACACCTGACTCGAGCACGTGCTCGTGTCTGGGGTTGAAATGTCGCGCCCCAATGGTGGGGCGATTGTCGTCGCGGTCCGCCAACACCAGGAACTCAGGGTTCAATGTTGACCACCGTCTTCACATGCGATTGAGCCCATGAGCCCCCCAAGCTGCGCCATCCGTCCGACAACAGGCATTATGGGATGATCTGGTCGATTCTTCCGGGGAATTCTCTTGCCTGCACACCAAAACGCTCGCTCGCCTGCCAAATGAGCGGCCGGCGGAGGGGAAAGGCGAGCACGTGCTCAAGGTTGAGGTTGAGCATCAGCAATGCCGGCTGCACGTCGTCCATGTCTGCCGTTAGGCCCACTCGTTCTAGAGAATGCGCTCTTCCAAAGACCTACGGACGATGATTACGACGCCCACGCTCCCGTTGTGACGCTCTCATTCGAGGTGACATGGCCGGCGCCATCGATTGACCTATCTGGCCAGCCAATCACGAGGGGGCAGGACACCGCGTGGTCGTGCTTGTTCAAGCTGCGACACAAAAGAGCCCACGCGACACCCCCCGACAGTGATAATGCGCGCCGTACATTGTTTTTATCGCCTTGCTCCCCCCTCACAGCCACTCTCCGAGCTTCCTATTCCCCTCGAGGCAACCTAGAGACGTCCCGTGAGCCACCGTCTCTCCACTCCAATCATGCCTCGCCCAAACCTCCCGCCTACTCCACAGCCATCGACCGACATTACAGGCAAAAATGCCGCCAACGCCCCTCAATTGGAGAGCAGCTTCGACTTACCGCCTGCGGCATTGGCTGGTAGAGGCAGTGTGGCTAGCTCCTCGGGTCCCTCAGAAAATGCCTCAGACTCCTCATACAGGCCGCCGTCGCCATCGTCCCCGGTAGCGACGTCCAAGTCGAGCCATTCGCGCAAGCGTTCCAGCAACGCAGCTCAGCACAGCGTTGTCACCAAGGACGACTATTCTCTTCCTCCTCCGCCTACTCGCTCGCGGAAGATCATCCAGATGAAGCCCAAGGACACTCGGGAGTCACTCAAGGGTTCAGTGCAATCGCAGAATGCAAAGACCACAAGCGCAACTGCCAATGGCGGCAAGAAGAAGCAGGCGAGCAGCACCACTGCCGCTGGGCGTAAGATTGCACGAAAAACGGCACACAGCTTGATTGAGCGAAGGAGACGGTCCAAGATGAATGAAGAATTCGGCGTGTTGAAAGACATGATTCCGGCTTGTAGAGGCCAGGAAATGCACAAGCTTGCTATACTGCAGGTGTGTATTTGTATTCTATAGTACGCATCTGCATGCGCTAACCGCTCCAAGGCATCTATTGAGTACATGCGCTATCTAGAACAATGTGTCTCGGATCTCAAGACTGCAAACTCACGGCGCGACTCGCCATCATCCACTACATCTTCACTACCTCCGCCACCTGTTAGACGATTTCAGGACGAGGATGAAGACGACAGGGAACAGGACGAAGAAATGGAAGACGCTGTATCACCTACCTACGTGGAGCAACCCTCCCAGTCTAGATACTCTTTCGCAAATGCCTCGCCTGCAATCTGCCCATCAGACCGAAGCGTATATACCCACTCCACCACCACATCTCCGGCGATCATGCCCCACGATCACAACGGGCACTACTCGGCAAACCCCTCCCCCGCGTTGCGATCATCCGACCCACACCATTACTCGCTTGCCCCATCGTCCAGCCGCTCCACTGTAACCTCGCCGACTATCCACCCTTCACCTGCGTTCAGTGCTCATACGCCAACTGCCACATACTTTAGCAATCCATTTCATACAGGCCCTCCCAGTACGGGGCCAGTTGCAGCTCCGGGTTCTTCACACGGATCTGCCCATTTCTCCCTCACATCACCAGCACTCAAGCCGCAAGCCGACCGGGAAGATCAAGAAGCTACCGAAGCCCTGATGATGCTAAACACGGATCGCCGAAGTTGGAGCGGTGCAAGGGGTATGAGTGTGAAAGACCTTCTTAGCGGGTAGGTCTCGCTTGCACAAGACGTGCAAGGTTTACCTTGATCTCCTATGTACTGGGTTAATAAAAATGGGCGGTGCCAGAATGGTTTAGGGTGGATGACTGATTGCTTGTTTGGCGCTGTTGGTACACTCTATTTTTCGGCTCTTTGGAGCTTTTTTTATGCAAAGTATTGTATGTACGTTAGTGTCATGTTTGTCGGATAAATATGGTCGTAGACAATGTCGGGGTGGGCAGCCATGTTCCGAGCCGCACGTGGCAAAAAAAGTTTAATCAACACATCTGCAACATCTGAGGCTCCGTGAAGTGATAGGAACCGTCCGGGTCTGGGTCTGGGCAGATACCAAACGCTAACAGTGTCGTTAGACGACTGTCATCCTGGGATGTTGGCCTTCTAGAACCGTAGAAGGTAAGCACTAAACAACTGCCAAGCAATAGTTGCTGCAGGCAAAACAGGCTGCCCGCGGAAAAGACCATCCTCTTTCTCCCATTGATGTGGATATGCGGTTTACCAGTGTGTCGAACGTGCCACAGAACATCGCTGTTGATACTTGACAGGTGTGTGTTGCAACCAGCCTTGAGACGTGTCAGGAACAACCCTGAACCAGGAGAGAACAGCCTCGATACTTGACATGCACTTTAAGTTTCACCTACCACCTGACGTGAACAGCAAACCTTTCAGGCAAAACAAAAGTCGAAGGGGGGTGGAAGGGAGGCCCGCACCTAGTCGTTCACGCCAAGTTTGCACTAGCGTATTTTTTCTTCTTCCCTAGACAGTATTCCCCTTCCTTCCCTCGCTTCTGGATCTCGAAGCCGCATGCTAGAAATCTACGGATGAGGAAGTTTTCAATAGTTTTCTGACTCTCTGCTCGTAATATACAAAAAAAGAAAGAGAGTTTGGATGCAAGTCTCTCTCTCTCTCTCTCACACACACACACTACTCCGTTTTCTCTCTGGCGTCGTCTCTTTCTTAGACCCCCGATACGGGGAAATAAGAGCAAAAAAAAATACCATGGGAAATCGGAAGCGGAAGGGAATAAAGAGTTGTGGCGCGGACATGGGTGGGGGCAAATAAACCCATGTGTTTGGTACAGAAACGGGGTCCCCTTAAACTTTGGACTCCGCCACATCCGGGATGGGACCCCCGTAAATCGCTGGCTGTGTATGGATGGAAGATGGGGGTGCCACCGCACAACCAGTAAGCGGGCTATTTCTAGATCTTGTTGACTGTGCATGGGTGGGGGTTTTTATCCGATGGGAAATATTGGGGGTCTGGATCGTGGGTTATGGATGGGACTCTTTAGACCTTTGTTTAGCAACTTGTAGCGGTTGTGTAGCATGTCACTTGCTGTTCTAGGCCCTAGGGAACCCGTCTTTTCTTCATACTAGAGAACGTTTCGTGTGTGTATCTTGGTGAGACTATGGGTTGGTGCTCGTGCACGAAGGACAGCGGATACATGGCCGTGTATCCTAGCGGTATCGTGAGCCTTCGCCTCTCTCACTCACGGTCGGAGGTGAGACCCGTTCGTTGTGAACGTGCAAGATATCCTGGTCGTTCGTTTTCTGCATGGATGAATGTGTGAGTTGTGTCGAGATGTTGAACGTGCGTTCATGGGTTCGGTGTCTCCGTGATGACAGCTGGTTGATGCGAATGACCGTGCTACGGTGCGTCCGTGATATCCGCCTGGTTCTGGCAATACTTCCCATGTTCTCGGTGCTTTCTGGGATACTTTCTAGGATGCTTTCTGTGAGATGGAATATTGTATACCGTGTCTTGATGCAGCAGGAAGGGTCACTGCTTGACGGGGGGGGTTTGGTTGCCAAATAAAATGGTCGTGACACTGAGGATGGACTGCTTTTCAATCCTCCACTGCATTGTACACTGTCTGTGATTGTTGTTTCAAAGCAATTGTGCCCAGAAACTTGTTTTTAAAAGACTTGATACCCAAAATACCGTACCAAGTGCTGTAGTTGTGGTTGTTGAGATGGCTGCTTTACCAGAGGAAAATCGACCACACTCTAGCAGTGGCTCAGATACAGCGGTATCGTCGACGTATAGTTCGGATACGTACATCTCGGACTCGGAAAGGGAAGATGAAGTGACGGAAAAGGTATGAAAATCATCCAAGATTCATTGATTAGCACTTCAGTGCCAGCATAACAAAGACTGGACATTGTTCTTCCAATATGCTATCAACCATCTATTCGACGCAAGATGGAGCTAACAAATATCCCAGGAAGTTCAGAAAACCAAAAGCAATACAAGCAAAGACATTGAAAAGGGCTCATCAAAAGATGTGGACATCACAGAAAACGAAATCTTCGTTGAAAAATACCCTCTCTCAGACCTCGACAACAACCTTGTCGGCTGGGACTTCCAAGGCGATCCCACGAATCCCCGAAACTTCCCCACAGCAAAGAAGTGGCTGTTACTAATCCTAGTAACATGCCTAACAACCCTCAGCCCCGTTTCCTCCTCCATTCTCGCACCCGCTACACCCTTCATCGACGCGGAATTTGGCAACACATCGCATATACTAGCCTCTTTGACCGTCAGCGTCTACGTTCTCGGATTCTCAGTCGGCGTCTTGTTCCTCAGCCCGCTCTCTGAGCTCTACGGACGCTACTGGGTCCTCAACTGCTCGAGCGTCGCCTGGTGCGGTTTTACCTTGGGATGCGCACTTGCACCGAACCTCGGTAGTCTCATCGTCATGCGGTTTCTCGCCGGTGTAGGTGGAAGTCCTTGTCTTACCATTGGGACGGGCGTCATTGCAGATGTCTTTGTTACTGCCAAGCGTGGACTCGCGGTATCCATCTTATCTCTGGCCATCCTCTTTGGCCCGATTATCGGTCCCATCTGCGGAGGCTTCATTGCCCAGCGCATCGGGTGGCGCTGGAGCATGCGGATTATTTTCATTGCGGGATGCGTCTTGACGGGCAGTCTCTTCGCCTTCAGCTCCGAGACGTATCATCCTGTTCTCCTGCAGCGCAAGACGCTGCGGCTCCGGAAAGAGCTGGATCGGCCTGAACTCCAGAATATCATGACGTACAAAAAGGGCGTCGAGGCATTGAGTGTAAAGCGCAGCCTTTGCAACAGCGTCACACGCACGGTGCAGATGCTCTTCAAGTCGCCGATTGTACTCTTCTGCTCGCTTTACATGTCTTTTGTATTCGGTCTTCTTATGATGCTCTTCACGAGCCTCACTCCCGTCTTCATCCACACATACGGCTGGTCTCCTGAAATGACGGGTCTCGCGTACCTAGGCATCGGCGTCGGAAACTGCTTTGGTGTCGCATTTGTTGCTAGGACTAGCGACGCAACAATTGTCCGGCTCACGAAGAAGAACAAGGGTGTTTACGAGCCGGAAATGCGGCTGCCAGCTTGTGTATTCTTTGGTCTTATGATCCCGATATCGCTATTTCTGTAAGACTCCTTTCGCTCAGATCTCAATTTGAATACTAACGGGTATACATAGGCATGGCTGGACTGCTCAATATCACGTCCACTGGATTGTTCCAATTGCATCACTCATCCCATTCGGCTTCGGTCTCATGGGTCTCTACGCGCCCCTGCAAACTTACATGATTGACAGTTTCCCTCAGTACGCTGCATCGGCTGTAGCCGCCATGTCGTCTCTCCGCTGTCTCGTGGGTGCTTTATTGCCGCTCAGCGGGCCACTGATGTATGAGAAGTTGGGTCTGGGATGGAGAAATAGCATATTGGGATTTATTGCTGTGGCGTTCATTCCCGTCCCTGTGTTACTATATCGATATGGCAAGGTGATACGAGAGAAGTATCCTGTAAAATTTTGAATTTAAGCGATTGATGGTCAATGATAACAAAATGGATGTTTAGATAGAGGGGCGTATTAGACGTTTTTCTTCGTTCCTTCGTCGTTCTTGGCTCTATAGATTAGAGATGGAATTGTGGAACTGGAATGCATTGGCTAGTATGACAACGGGATTAAGTGTGCTATGAACATTGGCCGTATGTGTACACATCGTCCTTGCAGTCCAAGTTATGCTCGCTGGGCAATTGTTCCATGGATGCATTTTGTCGTGTCAACACTAATCTTGACAAAGTACTTACTAAGGCGCTGATTTTCTGCAACTGGTACCAAAAGAAAAGCCTCTTCTTTCTCAAGAGATGAACTTAAACTAGCACTTTGTATTATATCTCCGCTGCTAGAAATCGATGCTGATTTCATGTCTGCCGTAATATTTGGTTTATCGAATTCAAATGAGGAAACCAGTCTCATTTTGATAGTTAGCTAAAGTGACATTTAGCTCGTAAGCAGGGATGATACAAGAGTCATCAGTGTATGCAATAAATAGATGTCAGTTGGACACGGTCAGATGTCATCATGGACAGTGCGCGCTCATATTGCGGAGCGGACCACCGAGAATGGTCCGTGCGCCGAAACTCAAGCTCCGACGACTTTGTGATGTCGCAGTCTCCACTCGACACTTCATCATGGCCGAGTATTGGAAGTCAACAGTGAGTGTAACAAAAATAACTTACTTACATATCGGCGACTAACAATATTGCAGCCAAAATACTGGTGCAAGTTCTGTTCCACCTATGTAAAAGACACAAAGTTTGAACGCGCGCAGCACGAAGCGACCGGCCGCCACCAAGGCAACATCCAGCGCAGTCTCAAAGGACTACATCGCGAGCAGGAAAATGAGAAGCGCAACCAAGCGCGCGCACAGGCCGAAGTCGCGCGCCTGAATGGTTTGGTATCTTCTTCATCGGGCCCTTCGGTCGCGACCGGTGTAGGCGGTAAACCCACGTTTGAGAAGCGGCCGGAGAAGAAGGCAACATTGGACGATAGAAAAAGACAATGGGAAGAACTAGCGGCTATGGGGGTTGCGTTACCTGCAGCTGCTCGTGGTGACCTAGCGATGGCGGGAGAGTGGAAGACAGTATCGGAAGAAGTGGTTGGAGAAGTAACTGAGGATGGTGAATTCAAGGCGACAGCTTTGAACAAAGGCATACGTAAGAGACAGCTTGATGAAGACGAAGAAGAGCAAAAAGCCGCAGGAGAGCTGATCACTAAGAAAAAGGGCTGGGGAAACACTTTCAAGAACTTTCCAGGCAGCAAGGGAGGCGATGACGATGTCGAGAGTTTGTTTGGAAAGAAGGAGAAGCCAGCTGTGGAGGCACAGCTCGAGGTGAAGAAGGAGGAGCCAGATGATGGTGTGAAAGCAGAGGTGGAGGATGATGCTGACACGAAAACACTAAAGGATATACCTACCGCAGAAGAGGCCGCAGCCAAAGCTGCTCAAGTGGTAATCAAGAAGGAGGAGGGGGATGCGCCGGCAGCACCAGCTGTTGTCTTCAAGAAGAGGAAGAAGGCAAAATGAATACCTTCACCATCAACTTGTAGTGCAGAGTGATGGGTCAAACTTGGGTACCCCCTAATGCAGACGGCACAAGCCCTGTATGTTGCGAGCTCAGTCCATCTGAGAGCACCTGATGATCATGGTACAAGGGGCGCGCGCTCCACAGAGATGTAGACAGGAGGGACTGGTTTCTCATATGCTAGGGGAATGCGAGCGACAAGGCCATATAGATTTGGTAAAATGATGGGGTTGGGCCGCGATAGAAAGCGTCCGGGGGATGGTGTCGCTTGCTTGGCATCGGGACCAGAATGTATGACAGGCAATAAGACGATTGGAAAAGGAGAGGTTACATGCTGTACTCAGCCGAGGAACATGTGCCTATAAGAACTGAAGATAGGGATGGTAGTGATGGCATTACATAGTTTGTACAATATCCAGCGCTAGTGCAAATATGAGGGCCTACTAAGTATTGCAACTTTCCCGCCGCTCGTTTAGTTTAACACCCGCTTTTCGATCGACGCATGCACCTAAACCTTAAACCCCTGCCCAAACGTCTGCCAAGTAGCGTCGACTGCGAGTTCGCGTCGCCAACGCTAGACAACTGTCGCGGTCCACCACCACGCCCTCGCTGTCCGCATCTTATCTTTTCATGGTCGCGTAGGAGCATGCCCGAGCTGTCAGCGATCTTGACGCGACCATGCATCTCATCAAGCCACAGTGGTTGACACATCCCGGTACGTCCACCTCTGCCCATGCTCTCTGTTGTGCACTTCGCATTCTGCTCCCAGCTTGCTGACATTGGTTCTCACTCCAGGCGAACAGAAAGACTTTGAAGTATACAGCTGCCACGTCTCCCCCGATGGGTCGCGCCTGGCTACTGCTGCCGGAGGTTCGTTCACCCATCCCCCGGCCTCACCCTACGCGATGCGCTGCTCCCCAACATACAGCTAACACACACATCACCTAGACGGATACGTACGCGTGTGGTCTACCGAAGCCATCCTCAAATCCAACGACCCCACATATACCAAGCCCAAGCAGCTCGCGGCCGTGAGCCATCATTCAGGAACCATCCATGCCGTCCGCTTCTCGTCCAACGGCAAATACTTGGCATCCGGCGCAGACGACAAGATAGTATGTGTCTATGCGCTTGATAAGAATGCGCCCACACACGCAGCATTCGGTGGGTACATATGGAATACAGGAGAGGAACAATTGCTGATGGACTTGCAGGATCAAACGAACCCCCGCCCGTCGAGAACTGGCGCGTCATCCGCCGTCTCATAGGACACGACAATGACGTGCAGGATCTGGGCTGGTCATTCGATTCTTCGATATTGGTTTCCGTGGGGCTGGACTCTAAGGTGGTCGTCTGGTCAGGCCATTCGTTCGAGAAGCTAAAGACACTGTCCAACCACCAAAGTCACGTCAAGGGCATAACATTCGACCCAGCTAACAAGTACTTTGCGACCGCAAGCGACGACCGAACCATCAAAGTCTACAGATTTAACTCTCCACCGCCCAATGCGTCTCAGCAAGACCAGGTCAACAACTTTGTCTTGGACCACACAATTACCGCGCCCTTCCAAACCTCCCCTCTTACCACATACTTTCGCCGTTGCTCGTGGTCGCCAGATGGTGCCCATATCGCCGCCGCGAACGCCACAAACGGACCAGTCAGTTCAGTCGCCATTCTTTCGCGTGGCTCGTGGGATGGAGACATTAGTCTTGTTGGTCATGAAGGGCCTGTTGAGGTTACCTCGTTCTCTCCACGATTGTTCTACAGGGATCCGCCGCGTCCAGAAAAAGACGGAACCATTACACAACCGACTGTGACCATTGTCGCATGTGCCGGGCAGGACAAATGCCTGAGCGTGTGGAACACGAGCTTTCCGAGGCCATTCATGATTTCGCAGGAACTGGCAGGAAAGTCGATATCTGACTTGGCATGGTCACCAGACGGAGAGACACTATACGCAACCAGCTTAGACGGCAGTATTATGACACTGGTATTCGAGACGGGCGAGCTTGGATATCCTGCCACGCTTGCAGAGAATGAGAAGACGCTTGCCAAGTTTGGTGCAGGTAGAAGAGTTGGTATCATCGAGGGCACAGATGCGCTACTCCTGGAAGAAAGCAGCAAAAGCGGGGAATTGAAAGGCGTTCAGGGTAGGATGGGTGCATTGATGGGTGATGGCGGCGCAGTCCAACCTCCTACAATCACAAATGGAACAAATGGCACTACCCCGTCGACGACGACGACGACAACGACAACCCAGACAAACGGATCCTCTGCCGCCGCCACTACCCCAGCGCAACCGCCAGCCCCCGTTGAGCCCCCTCCGGATCAGAGAGTAGAAAAGCTAAAGCAACGAGTGACGGTCACAAAAGATGGAAAGAAGCGAATAGCGCCAATGTTGATGTCATCTTCGTCAGGTGTGGGAGAATCTTCCTTGCCAAAGACACAGCTCCTCTCCGCAACAACAACATCCGGTGGCAGGAGTGACAATCCACACAACATACTCGATCTATCAAAGCCGTACGATGGGTTCCCAAAGGGTGGCCTCGCCACTTTGCTTATTGGTAACAAGAGGAAGTTTGCTGAGATTGAAGGAGACGAAGACAAGCAGGTCGAACGGAGATTGGCTGCTTCTGTGAAACCCGGAGGTGCTGCAATAGTACTCAATAGCGAGAATGGTCTCATTCCGCCTGCTGCTGCACCGCCAAAGAACAATGAGGCGCATGATCCACCCAAAGTACTCAGACCAGCTATTGTCAACCCATCGCTTAGTTTGGCTCAGGTGCGGTTGGCGGTGCCTAAAGTCAGGAGCGTCATCGTGCGAACTATGGATGGCAGTGAGCCACCGCAGAGTGGTGTTGATGCCAATACAGGCAAAGCAGATATACCGGACACTGTCATACTGGAAGCACGCAACGCCAGTGGTCCATCACGGACTGGACGACCGCAAGATCATGATCCAACAAGACTGACCTGTACCAGCAAAGGACAGTCACTTTGGCAGGACTTCTTGCCAAAAGCTGTGTTGCTGGTAACTGGCAACACAAACTTTTTCGCCGCAGCATGCGAGGATGGTTCAGTTTACGCATGGACCCCAGCAGGCCGTCGGACACTAAATGCCATGATTCTCGAGGCCCAGCCCGTCATCATGGACTGTCGTGGCTGGTGGCTAATGTGTATAACGGCAGTTGGCATGTGCTACATCTGGAACTTGAAGAGCATGTCTTCGCCTCACCCACCTGTTTCACTGGCTCCTATCCTCGACATAGCAGCATATGCCCAAGGACCACACCTTACTCGATCGCCTGGTATTGTATTTGCACGCTTGAATTCGGCCGGTCGGATAACAGTCGCCATGTCCAACGGTGAAGGATACGCATACAACCCCGATATGTACATCTGGCAGCGCTTGTCAGAACCATGGTGGGGTGTCACCAGTCAGTACTGG